CCATCCACCCTGATGCTGCCAATTGGTCCAGTGGTGAGAATCTTTGTCTTCTTGACATTGAGCTTCAATCCATACTGAAGGCTGCAGTCCTTGACAATCCTGATATAGTGAAGGCTTTATTCAATTATGTGTCACTAGTGCCCTCTGTAGGTCAAATTGGCATCTGGATGATTACCAAGGAAGCCAGAAGGGGCCTAGCACTAGTTCAAGCACTGCCTCCAGTGTAAATTCCACAAATGGTTATCTGTCTCTCTCCTGCACAGCGATTGGTGCATTCAAACCCCTAGATGGTGGGTTTTGTTTTAGAAGCGTAACTTTAGCAGCCCAGAGTAGGCCCACAGAAACCTGCCTATGCAAACTGTTTTCTAAGATATGTGTATGGTCTTGTACCTAAATCACAAAGATCAGTGAGCATTCTGAACAGTCTCCACCTTAAAGTGCCAGGGAAAAAAATACAGGGCTACAATGTGGACTTCAGACTAAACCTCAGGATAATGAGGAAAACTCAGTTTTAAGGACAACTCGAATTGAACTGTCAGCCCAAAGGTACATGATTTGAATCCACCATATGTCCCTGGGAGAAATGGTCAATTTCTTCCCTTGTGATTTACTGCCTCTCAAAAACCATTGGTAACAAAAACTATAACATAAAACCTCAATTTCATTGGTGAAGTAGAATTAACTCATGACTGATCTTCTTGAAGGCCTTCGGAGGCTGTAAAACACTGTTGTTGTTGTTGTTGTTGTTGTTGTTATGTGCTGTCGAGTCGCCTGCGACTCATAGCGACCCTATGTACAACAGCCCTAAACTCCGCTCTGTCCTGTGCCAATCGCACTGTCTCTGATACTCCCATCCCAATTATCCCAGTCACTGAATCAATCCACCTCATAGAGGGCCTTCCTCTCCTGCGCCGTCCCTCTACCCTCCCAAGCATGATGTCCCTCTCCAAGGACCGGTCTCTCCTCACTACATGTCCGAAGTAAGTTAGACGGAGCCTCAGAATCCTTGCCTCCAAGGAGCCACCCGGTTTAACCCTCTCCAGGACAAATCTATTTGTTTTCCTAGCAGTCCATGGTATTCTCAGTACTCTTCTCCAGCACCACAGCTCAAAGGCATCAGTTCTCCTTCTATCCTCCTTGGTCATTGTCCAACTCTCTGATGTTTGTAAAACACTAAGGGAGGGAAATTGCCTATCTTTTCCCCAAGGGTAGCTTGTGGATTAAATTGCATGTCTTTGCGTTGGCAACAACACATATTATCCACTGTTGTTGCTGTTGTTATGTGCTGTGGAGTCTTTAAGGCCACCATTATTAATTACGCTTCGGCAGTGCCTGCCTGAGGGAGCTCTGATGGCCTAGAAGAGTTGGGGGCACTCTCCACCCAGGCCTTTTTGAGTGGTGAGTCACAGCAAAGGTTGTGGGCACCCTTGCAGTGGCTCCTCCATGGGCCAGAGGGGGCTGGTACACATTGAGCGCTTTAGCTCTCCTGGAACACCCATTGGAACTGGGCATTTGAACTCAGATATGTTCCACTCTGCAGTCCAAAGAAGTGGAATTTGCAAAATATCCACCAGAAGGACTAATATGCTTACCCCCGTAGAATCAAGGTCACCCACTAGGGCAGTCGCGTGTTCCATGCCTGACCCGCCTCTGTAAACCATCAAGAGAAGAATGTAGCAGAGTCCAAGTAAGGAACACAGGTAAGTGACTGGGCACGCAAGGAGCAGGTGCCAGACTGGAGCAGGAGCGCGAGTGCAGTTCTGGCCCAGGTTCCAAAGGCGAGGCGCTGTGAGAAACTTTCCTAAAGCGCCGGACCAGGGTAGGCGCCCCTGTCTGGTCCTAAGAGTTTCAGAAAAGCCAGATTCGCTGGCCTCTTCTCTCCGGGGTCTCCTTCCCTCCTCCACCCCCACCCTAGCCCCGCGGCTCCCCGTTCCGGGGCGTGTCCACGGCCAGACTTCTATTTAGCTAGCAGCGAGACGCGCCAACCACAGCCCACTTGTGAGCGCCCTGGTACAGTGAGAACGTGGCTGACCTCCCCAGCTCCCAAGTCCAGCCCCTCATCTTCTGACGAGTTGCCAACCCCGCGGAAGCCAGACGCCACAGGCTTCCCAGCAATCCAGGAGGGTCTCTAGCACCATGGAGCGGGCGCATCTCGCGCTCTGGGCCGCAGCACTCGCCGCGCTAACGCTGCTAAGCGGGCCACCCGCAACTGGAGCCGGCGCAGGCGCGGCCGGCGTGGGCCCCGTGGTACGCTGCGAGCCGTGCGATGTGAGCTCCCTGGAGCAGTGCCTGCTGCCGCCCGCTGGACCCGCGTGCACTGAGCTGGTTCGCGAGCCAGGTTGTGGCTGCTGCCTGACCTGCGCGCTGCGTGAGGGCCAGGCGTGTGGTGTGTACACCGAGCGCTGCGGTACTGACCTGCGCTGCCGGCCGCCATCTGGCGAGCCGCGTCCGCTGCAGGCGCTGCTGAAGGGCCGCGGGCTCTGCACTAACATTAGTGCAGCAGCTCCCCTGCGCACCTACCTGCTTCGCGAATCGCCTGCGTCAGGTGAGGTCGCACTGCGTGCCTCTCGGGGTGGGATGGTCCAAGCCGCTGCCTGGACACCTGATGTCTCAGGTCCGGAGACAGTCAGTCCTCTACTGGTGGGTCTGTACTTCTTCCTTCCCAAGGGAAGAACACTTGGCAATTGCAAAGCGCTATGAGTCGCCGTAACAACAACAATCAACGAAATTGGTAATTTCGTGGGAGAGGAAAGGGGGAGTCTCAGAGGTTATCTTTTGTTCATCTTGGCTCAGCCACTGTTCAGCTCGCTGCTCCCCTAAGCACCCTTCAATGTGGCCTTCACAAAGAAATGCAAGTGGTGGTGGTAGCTCTTCCTTAAATCTTAGCCATCCTCTTTCAGGGTTCAAAGCAAAGTTCGTGCGGGATCAGCTGCAAAGCTAAAGGTGGAAAATTCTCTCCTTGGCCACTCTGAAGGAAATGACTCCCTGGAGCCCCTACTTTGTCATTCAGGGCAGATCCTTTGTAATTGTCATTGCTATAGATTTCCCCTCCTTAGGGAAGACTATTTCTTCTAATGAAGATGTCCCCAGTTGTGAACAGGCAAACCTCCAGGGTCTTAACTAGCTCCTCAGAGCCCTGGGCTTGCTCTGACTTCTTGGGACCCTCTCCTTTGGACGCTTCCTCCTGCTGGGAGGAGACTGCTCAGTTTTCGCCTGCAGTTTTAATACACATAAAATCACTACAGTCTCTTTCTGGTTAAAATTACACTCTTTGTGCTCCTTTATTTTCTTGTGCATTTTCGAGTATCCAGAATAATGCTCTTAGAAATACTTCTAAACATATCATTTCTACCTGCAAGTACTGTGCATGATTAACACCATTCTAACTCTGTTTCAGGCTAATGGGATTTATTGTAAGAGAAAAGAACTTGTAAAATCTAGTGGGAGGAGGGATTAAAAAAAAACACCAGAAAAATGTAAAAAAAGGTACCAAGAAAAAATGTTTAAAAAGGGCACAACTATCTCTTGCTTAAAAAGAACCTTTTCCCCCCTTTCCAAATCACCAATCTTTACATCAGAAGGAAAAACAACCAGGTGAAATTTTATAAATGACTCAGGGTTCTTGTTAGTATTTCCTTTGTGTCAGTCCTAAACTCAACCTCTTTATCCAGTGTGTTCCAACATCCAGTGACCTACCAGTGTGCTTCCTCGGCTGTAAATCTTACTGGAGGAGCATGCCTGTCTTCCTCGCGTGGAGCCATTAGTGCATTCAAACTTCTGGAGCCACATGGTTTTTGAGTTAGCAGCACAATTCACTAGGGTCTGTGCAACCAGAGCTTCCTTTTGTGCCAATTCTTCCCTGAAAAAAAGAGGAGAGAAAACAAAGCAAAACAAAAAACAACCCTTTGATAAAGGATATTGAGACCAAATTTTACCAATTAAGAATTTGACAGTTAAGAGGCATACTCTTGCAGGCAGTAGGCCAAAGCCTTGGAATTTATTAATCTCTCCATACTAGACCTGAAGTTCAAGTCACATGGCCTGTGTACCTCATACCTGATGATAAAGTGCTTTGTGGAGAGAAGGGGGACTGGGAGCATTCTTTGAGTCACCAAATGCTCCTCCATTCAAAGAGCCAGAGGCTCTGATAGGGTGTGCTGCCCACAAGCAGGTTGCCACAGTGATGAGCCTGTTCCTGGGAGGCAGAAAGTTCTATTAGAGCAGAATACTCTTGACCCCAGCTAGAAGGAAAGACCAGTTGGATGTTGTCGTGCCCCATGCCAAGATAATAGTTGCCCAAACCCTGCTTGTTGGAGTTTGGAGCAATCCCAGCAGTAACCTGAGAGCTGAAGCTGAAAACCTTTTGTGTTCTACAGAGGATGAAGGTCAGCTGCTTTGTGAACATCTGCTCTAAATGTAGCAGTTGGTCCCCATGAGGACTGCCTGGTACCCATGAGCACAACCAGAGAAAACACAGGTCGGTAATAGGGGACACACCTCAAACCCTTTGATTGTGGCCATTTGAAGTGGAAAAGAAATTGAGAATTCTGATCATATAGTCTCATGTGTGATCCACATATAGTAGTTTCTCAGTACCCAGTAGAGAATTGGCTTCAGGACTTGCCAAGGGTACCAAAATCCACTGATGCTGGAGACCCTTGTATAAAATGGCACAGTATTCACATATAACCTACTCACATCATTCCTTATACTTTAAATCATCCCTAGACCACTTATAAGGAATGCTGGTGCCATAGGAGGTTAAGTACTGGGCTGCTAACAGAAGATAAGTGGCTTAAATCTACCAGCTGCTTAGGAAGCTGTCTTCACTGAATTCAGAATCATCTTGATGACCATAGGTTTAAGGTTTGTTTTCTGTTTTGTTTTGACATCACTTATAAGACCTGCTATAGTGTAAATAGCACTTTAAGCTTCCTCTTAGATTTTGATGAATTGCTTTGAGCGCTAAATCACTTCTAGTATTTTCAGTCTGTAGTTGATTGAATTCTTCAGTTCTACATACAGAAGACTTCAAACTCAATGTTGTCCACTCACTTCGGCCACTGCAACCCTTCATCAGATTGCTGAGGCTTAAGTCAGGAAAGAAGGAGAATGTTCATCTTTCCACAGAGTAGCTGGTGGATTTGAACCACTGTGGTGCACAGCCTTCACTGTGGACTGTGCTGTCAGAACTCTGTAAAGAAGGGCTACTGTACTTAAAAGGGCAGTTAAATTAGCATTCCAATGTTGCTGTCAAACTTTAGGCTTTCTTCACTGTGCACTTTTGATTGTAAAAGAGGCCTCAGAAAATTGTTTGACCCTTCTTTCAGGATATGAAAGCTCTTCCACACAGATGTATATGACAAGAAGGGGACTTTCTCTTTGCCCACATGGCTCCTGAGGGTTACAGAGACCAACAGTAAAGAGGAAGCCTAAGGATTTACAATATATGTGGCTATTCTCAGAGACCAACAGAGCCCTGTGTGGACGTGGGTCTTTAATAATATGGTGGGGGGACCTACCATCACCTGCTAACCCCTGCCAAGTATGGACAACTCTGGTGTGTGCAGTAAAACAGTGCAAATAGGAAGAATTCACTCCCCATATGAGCCAACAGATTACTTACAGGCCTTACCAGGTAACATTGGAGACAAATTGAGTAGGCTCCAGAACCCAAGAGAGGTCTTGTTAAAGCCTGGATTCTCACAGTGGTCTAGGGTGGTGGAGAATGTGCATTCATTCTTCTGGATTCTGCATTTGAAGAGCAATGTGCTAAAAAAGGGGTCCTTCCACGGCGCAGGTCTGCCCTCTGCTGGTGAGATGTAAAAGTTGTGTTACAGTCAGCAGCTCTGGAGAAGTGGCTGAAAGCTGAGGGGGTAAGCAAGTTGTCACCTCCTTTAGTAAGTAAAAGCACAAGTGTAAGATTTCATTTTTAAAAGATAACTTTCTTGGTAAAGTTTGTATTTTGTCAAGCTCAAACTCACTAACATTCGTTGTAACCCATGGAGTCTTCTTGAGTCTGTTAATAGCAGGAGACTGCCCATCTCTCCCCCAGAGCATTTGGTTAACTTCAACTCCTGAAGATACCTGGCCTTCCGGTGAGCAGTAAAGCTCACTGTGGATTATGTTACCAGAGCTACTAGCACTAGGATTAGTACTTTATCAAAGTTCAAAACAAATACATTTGAAATGCTTTTTTAAGTTTACATTACAATGACTGGGTGGTCCAAAGAGATAAGGCACTTGGTAGATAAATTAGAGGTTTGAGACTACCCAAAGGAACCCCAGAAGGAAGCTGGGGCCAGCTACTTTGAGAAGGTAGTTGCTGAAGACCACACCGTAGTTCTGCTTTGACACATTAGTAGCCCTTCAGGAGCATGAGTTCAGCACTGGCTCTCTGGTTGGTTTCATTGCAATAGTGGAATTTTGTAACAACTACTGTACTGTTAAATGTTGATGGCTGTTACTTCATTTTTCTGGTCTTTGTTTTTCAAGGAAATGTTAGTGAGTCAGAAGAACAAAATGCTGGGAGCATGGAAAACCAGGCACTCCCCAGCACACATCGGCTGTCAGACTCCAAATTCCAGCCTTTCCACACCAAGATGGATGTTCTCAAGAAGGGACATGCCAAGGACAGCCAGCGATACAAAGTGGACTATGAAACTCAGAGCACAGACACCCAGAACTTCTCCTCAGAGTCCAAACGGGAAATAGAATATGTAAGAGCTTGCCCTCTTGTTAGAGATGCCAGTGGTCATTTACTCTGAGTGCCCAGAAGCTAAGACAGTACGTTGGTTGGTTAGTTTCTAAGCATGTAGCTCTTTATTCCAAAGATCCCAGTCAACAGAGGCACATTGTCCAAGCTGATCAGTAGGGAGCTTCTAGCCTCATCTGCCCCAGCTCCTTCCCTCACTCACGTCATTATTTTAAAAATATTTAATATTTGTTTCCATTCCAAAAAAGGTTATCCAACAGATGTATTCTTGCCTACTCCATACCAGGTTATTCTGAGAATATAAGGAGAGAGGGAAAGACAGAGACTTTCTTACTAAATCAGAAAAAAATACTTGAGAGGAACACATTATATAGCTTGTACTTAGGATAGTCCTCTGTGTGTGATAGAATTCTGAAGACCTGCAAGTCCTTTGTAGTAACAAACTCTGCCATTCTGCTCTCTTTCACCTCCAGGGCCCTTGCCGCAGAGAAATGGAGGACACACTGAACCACCTCAAGTTCCTCAATGTTTTAAGCCCCAGGGGTGTGCACATCCCTAACTGTGACAAGAAGGGGTTTTATAAGAAAAAGCAGGTGAGTGAGAGCTTTTTCCTCCCTAAGACTCCATGGAGGCAGAGAAAGACTAACGCTGAGCTCTCTGCAACATCTGTATCAGGTCCATCTCAGCAGATTGAACCCACAGTTAGTGTCACACACTGATCCCAGGGATGCCTGTTTGATCAGAACCCTCAACCCTCTATCATACTGCTTCTTAATCTTGACCTTCACAGCTACTTGTCACTGAGCAAATCAAGTGCTTTTGGGGAATCCTTTGTAGTCTTATCAATGGGCACTTTGATTGTTTTGTTACTGTTGCATTATGAATAACAACAGCATTTTTAATGGTATCTATTGTCAAGTATTTCTAAGCAATGTGATATAAAGTCATGTGACAACAAGCTCATCCTAAGATTTATTTCCCTGACATCTTCCTGTGAATGAATGAATGAATGGAAAAGGATCAAAGATTTATTACATGTAGGGTCACTATGGGACTCATTTTTTTAACATGTAGAGTCACAGGCAACTTGATATTACACACAACAACAACAGTTATGTTAAGTCATACTAAGTATATGTATATATACTATGTGTTGTGGCGATATTTCAGTTCAATTGGTCTTCTAACCAGACACTTTAGAGTATGACATCAGTAGACATATGAAGCAAATTCATACAGAGAATATGTACACTTAAAGACACATGTGCACACATATACACAGAAATGATAATTCAAAAAGAGATGTTCCATAAACAGGGGTTCAGGCTGGATTTAGAAGAGGCCTCGGCACCAGAGATATCATTGTTGATGTCAGATGGATCCTAGCTAAAAGCAGAGAATATCAGAAGAATGTTATATCTCTGTTTTACTAACTGTGCAAAGGCATTTGACTGTGTTGGTGACAACAGACTATGGCCAACATTGAGAAGGATGGGAATCCCAGAATACTTAATTGTACTCATGCAAAATCTATTCCTAGACCAAGAAGCCATTACCCAAACAGAACAAGGAAACATGGTACGATTTAAAATCAAGAAGGATGTGCATCAGGGATGTATCCTTTCTCCATACCTGTTCAGTCTGTAAGCTGAAGAAATAATTTGTGAAGCCAGACTCTATGAAGAATGTGGCATCATTATCAGAGGAAGACTCATTAACAACCAGTGCCATATGTGCAGATGACACACCTTGCTTGCTGAAAGTGAGGGATACCTGAAGCACTTGCTGCAGAAGATCAAAGACTACAGCCTTCAATATAGATTGCATTTTAACATCAAGAAGACAAAAGTCCTTACCACTGAGCCACTGTGCAACATCATGATAGATAGAAAAAAGATTGAAACGATAAATTATTTCATCTTGCTTGGATCCACAAGCAACACCATTGGTACCAGCAGTCAGGAGATAAGAAGATACATTGCTTTGGACAAGTGTCCTGCTGGGGATCTCGCCAAAATACCGAAGAGCAGTCATGTCAGTTTGAAGGCTAAAACTGGAACGATACAGAGAAGATTAGCATGGCCTCTGCACAAGGATAAAGGTTAAGGTGTGCCTGATTCAGGCTATGGTCTTTTCAATTATTTGCTGTGCATCTGAGAGCTAAATGATGGATAAGGATGACTGAATAAGAATTTATGCCTTTGAGTTGTGGTGTTGGAGAAGAGTACTGAATATTCCCATGGACTGCCAAAAGAATGGACAGGTATGTCTTGGAAAAAGTGAAGCTGGAATGCTCCCTTGGAGGCAAGGATGGCAAAGCTTCATCTCTGATACTTCAGACATGTTGTGAGGAGAGGCCATTCCTTTGAAAATACCATGCTTGGAAGGGTGAAGGGTCAGCAAAAGAGAAGAAGACCTTCATCAAAATGGAGGGCTCAAGTGTGTCAGAGATAGTGAAGATGGCACAGGATAGGATGGGATTCAGGTCTGTTGTTCATAGGATCTGTTGTTCATACTCGACTCCATGACACCTACTAATAACAGTAACACAGCAGAGATGTTAAGGAGCCCTTTGGGCTCCAGGTAGCCAGCTTCATCTTACCCTGAGTATCCACGAGCTGTTCCTGGTATCCTGACTCTCTTTTGTGCTCTCTGTAGTGTCGCCCCTCCAAAGGCAGAAAGCGGGGCTTTTGCTGGTTTGTGGACAAGTATGGACAGCCCCTCCCAGGCTATGAAGCCAAAAGGAAAGGTGAAGTCCACTGCTACAACATGGAGAACAAGTAGAATGCTGGCACAGCCCCTGGGACCAAGGAGCCATGAGGTAAGCCTCAGAGTCCTACGTCCTAGCTGAAGGGCCACACCTGCCCACTGTGGTACCCCTCATGGCAACATCAGGGTGGAAGGGAGCCCTTATTCCTGAGGACCATGTGGCTGGCCCTCCTGCCCAGACATGCTAGAAGGGCTTACACCACTGACCTCAGAGAGAAGCAGAGGAAACAGGATGGGCAGGACAGAGCGGGCAGAGGAGAAGGCTGTCAACCCTCAAACCTTCACCCTATAAAGATTTTATAAGTTAAGTCTTTTCCATGCATGTCTATTTACTTATTTTCCCAAGTAAAATATTTTAACCCAAAAGGATTTGTTAAAGAAAAATATTTCTAATTTAAAGACACCATTTTTTTCTGTAAAATATATTATGAATATTCTGATAGTTTGTGATTGATGTAATTTTACTAACATTTATATCAATATAAAATAAAATTTTGAAGATAAGCATTGTAATTCAAGAGGAGAAAACTCATAAAAACATTTCTCTCCATTTCTTCAAGACATATTTAATAAGCAGTAAACATTTTAATTTTTATATATTGTTTTTCGTTGCAAATGTAAAGCTAATTATTTCAGGGTGACCTCTGGACACTGAGCGGGGAGCATTGTGGGAGTCCTTGGATCCAACTCGACTGTCCTGCTGCTGTCTCAGTGGGCCTGCACAGCAGTGCTGCTTCTTGAGCGCTCTGCCTGATGACCCCAGACCATATTGACCCTCTTATTTCAATGTATCTCTTTTTGTTGTCATTGTAGTTAACATGGAACTCAAACATTCCTTATTTTGCACAAAAGACTACCAAGGGCATGATCAGCAGCTGACTACCACTTTGATGTATATCTTTTTTTGTAATGAATTTTTATTGTTATTTTTTCTTTTTTTAAAAAAAAAGAAAACCAAAGTTCAGAAAGAATTTTTGAAATGTCTGATTCTTTACCTTTGTTAATGTGAACATCTTTGTACTGTACAGCAGTGAATGAGGGAAAGTTTTATTTGTACTGCCTCCAGAACCTTTCTGCTCCTCCCCACTTTGAACTCCATCTCTAAGAGGATATGCTGGCATCTCCCCTTACTGCAGAACGCCATAGTCCCTCTCTACACCATAGAGATTCTGTGTTCTTGTCATGTGGTCGTCTGACCTTGAGTGGTGCCATCTTTGAGCCAGTGCCTGGGTCCCTTGACAGAGAAGACCTCTCGCATGCAGTCAGTAGACACTGCTCCAGCTCAAGAAAGAACAATTTGAAAGAATAGAGACAACTGTAGTGTTTTTTTATAAGGAAAGGCCAAGAACGTTTGGCTTTTCTTTTACAGGAGCTCCCAGAGACTCACTCGGCCAGTTAGAAGCCCACTCATTGCCTACTCCAGGAAGAGGACAGGGTTTGAGCCCAAGTCTGCCCCCCATGTTTAGAGACCTCACCTATGATCATATGACCCTTCATAACTACAGAGAAGACAGTTCTCCTGCTCAACAATTTCAGAATAGTGCTAATTTTTTCCTTATAATTCACCCATATATGCATAGAAAATATTCCAGTTTATTTTTTAAACATTATATATAACATAGAGTTAATTAAGATGATACAGAATAGGATGTTTCAGATATGTTGTTCATATTCAACTTGATGGCACTTAACAACAGTACACATATGTAGTTATTGTGTGTTGTTGAGTTGGAACTGATTTATAACTGATACTCGAGCAAGTTTTCAGAGATTATAAATTGCACAGAGGAGATTGGCCATCTTTCTCTCAAAGAGCCTGTGAGTTGACAGTACAAAGCCTATATATCCTAAGGAGTCCTAGAGAAAATTGATAGAGATGGTAGATCAGGGATAGCCATAACAAAGTGTGTTCAGACCCACAAGCAGCACTTGCTAGAGGCCACCAGCTCTATGTGACCAAAGTTTACCCTTTGATCCCAGGACGGGGATGCCTGAGAAGACAGGCACTGCACTGCCACCCTGCTACCACATGGCACCCTGAATAAAGCCCTTCTTGTTACAACCAAGGGGCCTCAAGACATCCTTCCTACATGCAATCTGTTCTTTTTTTATTATATTTTTTCAGAAAAAAAGTATTTTTGGATATTTAAATCTTACAGTATATTTATGTATAGCAAATAGACCTTTTCCCATAAAACTCTCTCTCTCCTGTCTCTGGCCTTATATCATTACTGACATAATCCTGAGCTGGTAAATCACATTGGTTGTGATATATGCCTACATGCTGCTTCATGCCCTCGGACCCTCGCTGACACATGTGTATGCAGCCTCTGGTTCTAACAGATGGTGTAGTGGGCCTGATACATTGTCACCTCTAAGCAGAAGAGGATCTATCAGCAAATGAGTCTCCCTGAAGGCTTGTTGCTGACTTGCTTTGGATTTATATCCCATTGTCTCATCTAACACCTCTCCGGGCAATGTCTACAACCACAGCAAGACAAGGACAAGACAGACATGCAGGGATTTTTTTAAACCATTTCTCTGAGCCTCTCTACTTTGGGAAGGGAAATACACAAAGACAGGGGGAAACCCCTATCTCTTCACACAACTGCCACTTGTCACAGATCATCTGCAGACCAAACTAGTGACTTTAGGACATTAAAGGATAAGCTACAAGGAAAATTTACTAGACACCTGTTTACAATTCTAACTGATCTTTAATAAACACTCTAAAGTATCCCTGATCATGGATATAGAATGTGGTGAGTAAATCTATAAAATGCTCAGAGAACCAGGGTGAAGGGTGCAATCTTCAGTCAAATTGTAAGAGAAATACTCAACTAAAGAGGCACTCTGATTTCAAAGCCTAACAGGAAGGTGGTGAATGGGAGTAGTAACTATATGAGCAATGTCTGGACTTGGAGGGGTTGGTGATATGGCAGGACATCCAGCCACAGACTGTCTCAAAAGGGTAGGCCTTTTGCAGACGTTGATGACCTGTGAATGGACAATAAGACTTGCTTTATAACCAGATTGCTTAACAAGCCAAACTCACCAAAATTGCCTTGTTTCCTCTTACTTCTCAAAGCTGCTATTCTCAGTGCTCTCCTTCCTCCTCCGTGCTCTCCTTCCTCCTCAGTGCTTTCCTTCCTCTTCAGTGCTCTCCTTTCTTTTAGTGCTCATTTTTTCTTCTCAATGCTTCCTATCTTCTCAGTGTTGTCCTTCTTTCCAGGTGCTTCCCTTATTTCTCAGTGCTCTCCTTCCTTCTCAGTTCTCCTCTTCATTTCCTTCCATTAGTACTAAAAATATATTATAGCTAATGTCAAATGGGTCTTGGCTGAAAGCTGAGCATACCAGAGGAATGTCTATCTGTTTCATTGACTATGCAAAGGCATTTGACTGTGTGGATCACACAAAAAGTGGCTGTCTGAGAAGAATGGGAATCCTAGAACATTAGATTGTGCTTATGTGAAACCTATACTTGGACCAGGAGGCAGTCGTCAGAACAGAGCAAGGAAACACTGCGTGGTTCAAAATCAGGAAGGATGTACACCAGGGATGTGTCTTATCTCCATACCTGTTCAATTTATATATGGAACAGACCATCCAAGAGGCTGGGCTCTATGGGGAGGAATGTGGCATCAGGATTGAAGGAAGACTCATCTACAACCTATGTCATGCAGATGACACAGCCTTGCTTGCTGAAACTACTGAAGATCTGAAGTGCTTGCTGCAGAACATCAGGGACTGAAGCCTTAAATATGGATTGAAGCTCAACACCAAGAAAACAAGGGGGGGGTGAAAGCACAGGCCTGAGGATGTGTAGAGGTGGTAGGCAAAATCATAGGGTCACACAATTTGATGGGTGAAGGGAGGCACAGGTGAAGGAAATGGGGAAATACCTGATGTGAAAAAAAACCCCAAAACCGAATGTATGCAAACTTTGTAAATATACAGTACAAAATGAAGAGAAAAAAATGTTTACTGTGGGGGGGGGGCAAAAAAGAAAGAAAACAAAGATTCTCACCACTGGATCAATTGGCAGCATCATGATAGATGATGAAGAGATTGCTATTGTGAACAGCTTCAGTTTACTTGGTTCAACAATCAACAATTGGTACCAGCAGCCAGGAAATAAAAAGATGAATTGCATTGGGAAAGTCTACTGTCAGGAACTTCTCCAGAGTACCAAAGATCAATGATGTCAGTCTGGAGACTAAGGTGCAGCTGATCCAGGCCACAGTCTTCTCAATGCATCAGAAATCTGGACAATGACTAGGGATGATAGAAGAATTGATGATTTGAGTTGTGGTGCTGGAGAAGAGAATATATTATGGACTGCTGCTAGAAAAACAAACAGATTCATCTTGGAGATGGTAAAATCAGGCTTTTTTTTCTGAGGCAAGAATTCTGAAGCTCTGTTTGACATACTTTGGGCATACTGCAAGGAGGGACCAGTCCTCGGAGAGGGATATTATGCTTGGGAGTGTGGAGGGATGGTGGAAGAGAGAAAGACCCTCATTGAGACTGAATAATTCCGTAACTGTTGTATTGGGGGTAGGTGTATCATAGACAATAAGTTTGTCTCAGGAAAGATCAGGGTTCAGAACTTTTGTACATAGGGTCACTATGAGTCACAAGTGACTCGATGGCACACATCAACAGCCTTCCTTCTCAATGCTTCCATTTCATTTCTCTCTCTCCTTCTTAGTGCTCTCCTTCCTATTCAGTGTTCACCTTCCTTCTCAATGCCGTTCTACAGTGTCGAAAGCTGGCTGCACTTCACCTGCCTGGGTTCCTCTTTACCTTACATTCCTTTCTGTGCTCCCTCAGACATCTGAGCTTCAGCCTCTACCTTTTTTGCTCTGTCTCTCTCTTCTTGTATCTCTCTTTTTCTTTCCCTCCTTGACAGTCATCTGCTCTCTTAGGTTTTAGCTATCACTTCTGAACCCAAGATCATCTCAAACCTGCTTTCTTCCATTTAGAAGGAGAAATGAATGTGCTGTGGTTCTGCA